ATCACTGTATCATTTACACAAAGCTGACGCACAGGCATCTCATCTGGTCTCTCTAAAAGTAATTTCAAACACTATAACAGTGCTGACTCTGTGTGGGCACGTTCTAAGTGCCTCAAATAGAACAACTCTCAATCTTCACAGTGTAGGGGCTGTTGATATTGTTATTTCCATTTTACAGATGAGGGAATGGGTACAAAAGAGGTGAAGGAGGTCAGATGGCATACAGGGGGTGCCAGGCACTGTAGCAACAGCCTGTGCGCTTACTATTCAATGTTACTAACCCTGTTTGCAAGGCCAGGAAATAGGAGAAATAGGAGCAGAGCTGGGGAGTGTTGGGGGCAGGCAGGGATGATGGTCTGGAGGTGGAATGGAGGGAAGGAGGCCCCTTGACCTGTCCCCACAGCCAGGGGCAGGAGCCTCTGAGGGAGAGGAGCTTCTACTGAGAGGGCTTCAGGGCAGAGCCAGGCCCACCTTACAGCCAGAAAGCACAAGGATCATTCAGGGAAAAATATGACAAACTGGATAATATTGGAAGAATTATGTTTTATCATGTGTAAATAATTGGGGGAGAATTCCCACTTTCCAATATTTAGATTTATCACATATTTACATTGTATAGCTGCCTATTCAAGTCTTTCCCTGCTACACTCCTCCCCAATTGTAGAAGAACTGCCAAGCTGTAGAAATAATGATCTGGTCTTTTTCACCTTGGAGTCCTCTCTACCCACAATCCCCCTGACTTCAAAATCTGTACATCTCCAGGCCATATGCTTAAGCCTGGAAACTTTTTAACAATTTTAAGCAGTTACATGGATAAAATACTTCTTTCTCTTTACCAGATGCGTTTAACTTGCAATAGTTTCACATCTGTTATTCCATCACACAATAATCCTTTGAGGTGTCCCGAGCAGGTGTCATCACCCAGATTTGCCAGTTGAGGAAGTGTGGGCATGAGGAGGCCAAGAGGCTTCCCAAGATGGGCTGCCTCAGAAGAGAGGTTCGATTTTAAACTTACGCCAACTTTTACCATTACAAACCTCCTTGCCTTACCCAAGAGAAATAAAACCACATGTCCACACAAAACCTTGTGCGGGAATGCTCATAGCATCATTACTTACAATAGCAAAAAAAAAAAAAAAAACCCAAGAATAACCTAAGTGCCCATCAGCTGATAAATGGGTAAACAAAATGTGGCCTATCCATCCAATGGAAAATTATTTGGCAATCAAAAGAAACCAAGTACTGATCGATTCATGCTGCAACTCGGATCAACTTTGAAAATACTGTGCTAAGTGAAAAGAGGCAGTCAGAAGGGGCCCCCTGTGGGGTGACTGCATCTGCGTGAAATGTCCGCAGTAGGCAAATAGAGACGGAAATTAGGTTAGTGGTTGCCCAGGGCTGGGAGGAACGAGGCAGAGAGCAGGGGCTTGGCGGTACGAGTCTCCTTTGGAGTGATGGAAATGTTTTGGAATTAGATAGTGGTGGTCATGGTTCTACAATTATGAATGTACTAAAAATTACTGCATTATACACTTGAAAAGAGTGAATTTGATGCTGTGTGAATTATATCTCAATAATGCTTTTATTAAAATTTGCCTCGCCAGTCTTACCGTATCTCTTGTCTTCCTGGGCACTGGCTCAGGCGAGGCTG